GCTGGTACCAACCAGGTTGTCATGGAGGTTCAAGAGGTGGGGCTGAACTGGGTAAGACGTGACCCTGTAACTATATTTATGCCGTCTGCACCATGCGTCTGGTAGCAGAGGGTTTAAAGCAGTGACGTCATCGGTGAACATTTCCAGATCCACCCCCTGAGGACAAAGGTGAGACACCAAAGGAGCCGGAAAAATCAATCGGAATCATCGATGTGTTCAAGGAGCCACAGTTGCGAAGAAATCTTCTCGTTCTCTGGATGATGTAAGTTCTCCCTCAATTTCCCTAGTAAGCTCTCTAATAAATTTTTCAAGATTTTTTGGAACCAAGCCAATTAATCATTCAGGTGGTTTGTGACCGGAATGACTGCTTATCTTACTGATCTCTGCGGTGGTGACATGACGAAAAACTTCTGGATTGGACAGTTCTTATCAGGAATTCTGCTTTCAGTCGTCAGGATTGTAAGTGTTTACAGTATCGTACTGCACATTTACGGCATCACTGTTTCTAATATTGTCAATCAATTTAGCTAATTGGATTTGCTGATGGGTTCTTACCATGGATGGGTCGTCGCTTTGTGTTGCTTGTTTCCCAGGGTCTGGCTGTTGGATTCTTCGCTTGCGTCATCGCTTTCTTGTTTATGGGACAAAAGGTGAGGAGTTCTGTTTAATTGGAAAGCTGTTGATGGAAGCTGTTTTTGTGATTCTTCTGGGTTTTTTTTCATTTGGGGGTTGGCAAGCAGTTCCTGTGCTTCCTCATCCCTTGAACCGATCACCTACAAAATAGGTTTAAAAATTTCGCAAAATCGGATTCAAATTTCGCTCGACTATATTGTGGTCTTTTTAGATTATTTTAATAATTTTCCTCTAATTTTAATATTTTTTTATTTCTTGTAGATCGTGATCTTTTCAGGGCGAATGGTATTACACCGCTGTCTATCTGGCGGCATTCGTGTTCACCTCAATCGTTTGGGAGCCATGCTATCTGTGTGCTTCGGAATTGATGCCGACAGATGTCCGTGCAACAAGTACAGCCTCATGTTCGATTGTCGGACGTATCGCTAACATTATGGCTTCCATGCTGGTTTGTTTGCTTAGCTTTTTTTTCTATTTCCATGGTAGAGGCAGGGTACGGAATCGTTGGGCAATCCTCATGAGGGCGGAAGAGTCGTGTTAGGAACAGCGTTTAGCTGAAGTGGCCTGGCTTACAGTAGTTGGCATTTTCATCGAAATGTGCTCTATGCTGCTTTCATCCGGCTGCCTTTGAGGCATTTTCCTCGAAAATGATGCACAATTGGCTTAACATTTCAAAGCACAATCACGCACTTTATGTGGGCGGAATCAGGCCTACACTGGTATCGCCAAACCGAGGAGTAGGTACGCACTAATGACGAGAGTCCGAGTCTTCCCCACGACCAGCTTGGCTACCTTGAAGCTTGAATGAGATAGCCACCTGAGTGCGACTATGGTGAAAAGCGATGCAGTTGACCTCAGCGGACTTTCCAGGGCTCCACCCACCTTGAAATGTCGCTTTATAAGCGGGGGCTTCAATTTTCCGCAACTGAAGCACGCTTTCATTTCGTGGTAATATAAGGTTCCTATTAGCTCTCCCCCTTCGAGCCCCTTCATGTGATTCAACTTTCCATTTGTGTTTACTAATCTCGGACCATTTACAGAGTGGCTTGAAGACTGTCTACGAACCCGGTGTTCACATGATTTCAATGGCATGTGGTGCTGCGAACGTACTTGTAGCGTTCATCTGGCTTCAAGAGACCAAGAACTGCAGCCTCGACACCGTTGGCAAGAAGGCTGAAGTACCTGCTGATGCAAAGACGTAGGTCTTTCGACGTGCATAGGAGGGCCCCGCCCCTACTGTTTGGTTAATTTTAAAACCGCCCTTTTCAGCGATGCCAAGGAGATGGAGACACTTCTTCCGAAGGCAGGTGATGGTGCGGCAGCCGCTGATGGCAGCTCGACGTCAAAGGACGACGGCGAAGCTAAGCACTAGACGTGCAAACTCGTACACCGCCAGTCTTTCGCTCCGCCCCTTTTGTTTTTATGGAGAGGTTTAGACGCTTGGATGCTTCAACACTTACAGACATTCATAGCTTTACGTCAAAAATCGTAGTAGGCGAATTGAAATGGCGTCATTTTTGTGCTATCGTAATCTCTTTTTATTTTTTTGGAATTGACTGACACTTTATCTTATCCCTATCTGTCCTCATTTATCGTTATCGTGTTTGCGACGTCCAGCGATGTGCTGTGGTGGTTGTGCAAGTGTAGAATCGGGTTGATATTGAGATATTTATCCTGCTTGGGAGAAAATTGTTAAAACGGACAATCTTTATTGCTCAAGAACCGCCCACTCGTGGGCGGAGCTTCAGTATCCCGCTGGCAGAAGGGATTTCATCCCATCCACTCTCCAAGGATAAATATCTTCCATATCAGCCCTGAATGGCGTAATGGCAATGCAGCTATGTGACGAGTTTTCATAGGGAACTAGTGGGGAGCTCCGCCCCTTGCGCGGGCGGGCTGTACCACCACCATGTCATTCTGGCTTGTCCTAGGCTAAGACACGTCACCAATATTTTCGTAATCGTTATTTTGTTTATTATAGCAACGAATCTTATTTTTCATATGTGTGACGTTAGAATCTTAATTTTGTATCGATTTATGAGAAATCGATTTTTTTTGGAAGGAAGTTTCTTTTAGTCAGCATCTTCTTCTTACGACCTAGGAAATAATATCATGATAGAGCTGCCCTATATGTGACCAGCTCTAACCATTTTTAACACTCGAGTACAGTACAGGTCGTAATGTTCGTGTGATGTAGTGTGAATTCTGTGTAGACTTCAATAAATCAATCGATTCTTTTGTACTTTTTGCGTGGCTTTCTGAAAATAGCAATAAATCAAACATCCTCAAAAACGGCAGCCAGCTTAAGAAGTCTGGCTTTTCCAAGCTATCATGGAATTGAGTGGCGTAAGGGCAGAGAAGAACTTTGGTGACACGCAGAGGCGCCTATCGGACCTCGCTGCAGGGCACATCGTTGATTGGGGAATCCCCAACAGGGGGGTCGTATTTGGCCCGACGCAGAGAGGGTGGGGTGTAGTGAGCTGCGGCAGCCAGTAACGACAGCAGACGCAAGTTGATGCAATGTGCTGACGCCTGTACGAACGAGCTAGAACTTGCTTTGTAGAGAACTTCGGAGATCGCAGAAAAAATAGTAAAAATTTCATTCATCAACGCAATCGGAATAACTGCAATATCTAAGTAAGTCGACAATTAGCTTCGTAAGTCCGTTGGTGACTAAACAGTACAACTCAAACTCTGGTTCGCTGCCAATGATATGGCGTGTCCGCGGTCGCGCTTGGCGCTGAGCCAACCTGTTTTTTTCTCGACAAGCGACAGGACTACCATATCGTTCATATCAGACGTTTTCCAGCAGTTGGTCTCCTTTATCGGAGTCAGCGATTGGCGGAGCACTAATCTGACGAATCTGCGAAGCGTTGACAGAGGACATGTTCCATTCATACGCAACGGAAAACACTGTAAACAAGTGCACAGGCTCGCCATGGACCTCCCTGAACCTTATAGACACATTTGCTCGCGTGAACAGACATTACGCACAAGTTGCACCATCCCATCACCTCTGCGCGGCCCTCAGTGCGCGGCGCATCCAAAGTTGGCGTGATCGGCGCTAAACGAACCATATCCTGCTCCTGCTCCACCACAGGATACGTTCTACATGCGTTCCTGGCTATTCGAACACGCTCACTTGAAACGGTACACAGGAAACGGGTTTTTCGCGCAGCTGGGAGTGTTCCTCAAGAAATCCCCATAGCGAGATCTCATGAATCCCGAGAGCTTCAGAAACAGTTCAAGAGGTTTTTAGAAAGAGAAAATCTTCAAACACTCGAAACCATTCTCAGATTTGTGAAATGTTGAGTTACAAAAAAATATATTGATTCAAACCTGTTCGGTTGAAACCACTCCCCAACGAATCCCTATGGCAGATTTCTCTGTGATTTTTGCGACGTTCATAAACGTTTAGTACTTTTAGGAAGTGCAAACCTTCCTCTACACGAGTACGGTCTCCTCTTCCCCACAGGTCCGCTTTTGAGGAAGTTATGGTCCTTCAAAGACACCTAACTCAGCTGGAAATTCTCGCTCCATGGCTAAAATTGCCGAATAATCTCCTGTCACAGCCGCAATTACATGCGCTTCTGCTACCGTACTCCACATAATCGGGGTAATGCATTTTTACGGCGGTTTGTATAACTGTTACGTAGTGAGACAAGCCTAACTTTCTCTTTTCCTCGTCCTCAATCTTGGGAATAGACGTTGTTAACACTGTGGTCGCTGATGGCCGCTCCAGAAGGGAGTCCACCTCAGGTTAAACGAATGCTCATTGAATTTAATCGCGATACATCGTTATTATTACCATGTGTGTTTCAAAACGGCCATCGAAGAAGTTCATCATACGAGTTTCTCATAATACGATTGTACCGTGTTTTGTTTGCAATCATCTCTGTATTGTTCTATTATGTCATGACTTCAAGTCGTCCATTTAGTATGGGCACCTTCATACAAGTAGAATTTCATAGTGGGCGTTTCATAGTTTCATTTAAGGCGAAAAAAAACCGAACGGCAAAAAAGGGGGGTCGTACCGAACCCCCAAAAAAGGGGGGTCGTACAGGCTCGACCAAAATCCCCATCGAATGCTGTGCCCTGCCTCGCTGTGATGTTTTGGCTTTGGTCAGGCTTTTGTCACAGAATCTGCGACGCATGGGGTCGTCTGTGACGAACCGGTAAAGAGGAAGGGGGAGCCGGGGGTGGTATTGGTAGTAACAGTCAATATGGAATCAGCACTGGCAACATCCCGGCAACACTGCCACCAATTTGTGCTTCGCCGTTAAATGCACGTATTCTCCGTTCGGGCTGTAATTCATTGACGAATTAGATGCAGTATACATGATGGTCGGAACTACAAACTGACTTGAGCACATTGTTGTTGGGGATTCCCCGCGGGGCGTGGGAGCTAATCGAGCTGTGAAAAGTTTCTTGATGGCTGATTAGTCGCCTGCAAGTGGGGGATCATTTTTGCTCGTGTTGCAGAGCATGGAGGTTCGTATTTCCCTTCTTCTGAGACAAGAGTTGTTGCTGACTTTTTGTAATTTTCCCTGTTTCATGTGTACTTTATACTTCCTGAATGGAAGACCAGTGCACATCATCGTTGGGGATTCCCCAACAGGGGTCGTATTTGTTCCGAGAAAAAAATTTAACGATAGTTCATTGTTCTTGTTTCGCGAAGCCATAGTATTAGATCTGCGAAAAAAAATTTTTTGGTAATTGAATCTCCTTGTTTCGGGGAGCCTATAAACGGGGGGGGGGTCGCACTTGCTCGTTATTGGGAGGGTGTCGTACTCGCCTGCTGGCCTCCTCAGATATCTTGCTTATTTTTCGTGGTTTTCTCGTTTTACTGTTTCATATGGAACTATGTGCCCCGTCCCCTAACTCCTGTCCACCTCTTGACAGCAATATTTTTGAGAAAAACCGGAAAATTTTTCGGGAAAGTTCGGAAAAACTGGATAGGGTTGGGAAAAGCTAGAATGGTAGGTGAGATGATGTAGAAAGGACAGGAGGGAGGGGGGGTTCGGTCGTAATTTCCTCCATCTCACGGTTTCCCGCTTGACATGTGCTACACGCCCCGACTGCTCGATGACGGAGGGAAGTGAGAGTGACCAACCTCAAAAGGGGGGACGTCTTAAGTAATAGTGTGCCCGGTTCTTGCTCGGTTGTCATAACCACAGTGGCCCACCAGGCTTAGCCCTTGAACAACAGTCGAGAAGGAATGTTAGAGTACGAAGCAGTAAGTAGAGCAGAAACAGTACGGAGCAGCGATTCAGAAATTTGGGACACACTGTGACTATTCGCATTTTGTAACAGCTTTGACCAGCACTTGTTACCTATGAAATCAATTAGGGATGGACCCTTTGGGAGAACAGAGCCCTACCACAAATAGTAGCCCCCTGAAGCCTCTTTATGGCAACGCGATCAGGTAGTGAAGAAAAATAAGCGGAAAAAAACTTGGCAACAGACCCAGATTGAACCCCATTCCGAACACAGTTTTGTACGTGCCCATTAACTCCATCTCCAACAGTATGCCCTCATCCGCACATCTGATTCCTCGACAAGAACTCCACGCCCGTAAAAGTAAGGATTTTCATGTTTTCTCGCCTGCAAGCCTTCGTTTTTTGCACTGAAAGAACGCGTGTCTGCAGAGGCGGAGTCAGAAAGGCAGAGTACACTTGGAAAGCGGGGGAGTTCACTGAATCTGATATTTGCTTATAGCGGCCCCTCCCTTACAATTTTCTGCCGCGAAACCGGTACAGGGTTCACTCGCCGCAGACCACACTACCGTCCCGACGCCATATTTTCAACTTCTATACCTGATCGATGACCACTACATGCGATTCTTCAATTGTGCTGCCCAGGGACGCGGACATCGAAATTGCAGTTTGTCAGACAGAACGAGAGATGAGTGGGGAAGTCGACCAACTCATGTAATTTAGTGAGTGAAAAAATGCCAGTGTTGTCACGATAACAACACACCTTTGTGTGAGTTTTGACCTATAATGTGCTATGGAATCAACCCCTTCTTCCAGAAGGTCTCTGAGGAAATAAGCAGGTCCACATGTCTCTGAAAGAAGGAATGCATTGCATCTGGGGTAGAGGTATAGAAGCCCAAATTTTACAATTTTGAAACGAGTAAAACGGTTGTATAGCTTCCCAGAGATCAAGCGCTATCAAAGGTTCTCGCGCAGCGACTTCAGGCCCCTGTGCTAGGATGGACACAGTTACCTGGAATTTTGAATCTCCGTGACACTCAATCCGATGACCTGTTCTCTACGTACTTGTCGCCGCTATATCGATGACTGTGTCTCATAATACTGCACACACAAGGTGAAATCGATAGTGTTTCACGCTGCATGTATGGACACCTTTCAAATATAAAGTTACTATGAGAACCCTGTAGAGAACTGGCTGCCCTTCCTCAAGCATCCAAATCCAATTGATGGGGAACACGGTGAGAACCAAATGGTACTGCAAGCAGAGCAATAAGAATATTCTTGTTCACTATGATTAGGACACATCCAGCAAGGACCAAGCAAGCGGTGATTGGCAATATGTTCGAACGCCGCAAGGTGTCCTCTTGATCTCGCAGTGGAGCAGGAATCGCTGCGATTAGGCGCGAAAAGATTGCGATATCTAACCGGTTACTCCAGGTCACTGCGAACTACGTACTGGATTTTGCAGACAACGCGGGGTCACAAACGTGCATCTTCCGAAAAAGTACCATTTTGTTGGCCGTTCATCTCAGAAGAAGTTAGCCAAGGCGATCCGTACGAGTCTGCAAAGATGTGGTCTACAAGAAGACGTTAGACTGGTGGAAATACCCCCGAACAACTTGAAACCTCTCCTCAGATACGTAAGCGCCTTTATGGACATATTCAATGGGGTACGCGAAATGTTGGTTTGCTCCTCGGTTAGAGCAGCGCGATTGCCATGAAGTCCGGGGTCGATATTCAATTCGTTGCCTCGCATGTGACAGTGAATATGTAGGGGAAACGGGCCGTCTTTTGCGAGTTAGAGTTAAGAGAGCATTTAGACGGCTTGCGAAGATCACAAGTCGGACGCCACCTGGTTTCCAATCGGGTTGAGTGTCATGGAGATTCAGAATTACAGGTTACTGTTGTTCCAATCCTAGCACAGGGCATCCTTGAAGTCTCGCTCGCGCGAAAAACCTTGAGAAGCGCTTGCGGGTTTCATCAAAAATCCCCCTGATGAACAGGAGAAAGGAATGTGTAGTCATAACACGTGAACTCGCGCCCTTCATCGACCTATGTGGTTTTTGATCTACGATGGGAGCTAGGCATGATAGTTCATTGTTACTTGTACTGCAGTTGGCGTGGTCGATCATTGCGGCTGAGATCAAGGTAAGCCAGCTTCACTTTTATCGATTCTATACCGCTAGAGGGTTTGCTAGGATATCGAAATGGTCTTATGTTTTGGGGGGCGCTCGAGAGAACAATCTCAATTGTTTTGGACTTCTTCAGGCCCTGACGAAGGCGAGGAAGCCGAAACGTTGGCCAGTAAATCATAAATTATAAAAATCTTGGACGGCTAAAATTATCCACCTGGTTCGTTTTTGTGTTGCCAAGTAACATAGATGCCTGCAGTACTCATGTTCCAGACCAAGTTATGGATGAGTTTAGCAGTTTAGCAGCACTCATCGGTATGAGCTTTAAACAGATAAGGAGCAACAGCCAAGTTGTCACGGTAAGAGAAAAGCAATTTAAGAGCAACTTGCTGTTGCCTCGCCTCAGTAGTCGCTAGACTCACGTCTTGTTCTTCTTGATTTGGCTGCCATGTGACAAAGCATCGTTTAAAATCAGTTTTCAGTGCAATGCTCCAGCCACGGACCACGTGGGTTAGCACGTGGTCCGTCTCGGTGCCAAGCGCTTGAAAGATGTATTCCTTCTGTATCGAGCAAAAGGGTCTTGATGACAGGGCCGCAGCTTTGTTCAAGGTGAGTATGCTATGTTCTCAGGCTGCTCCTATCTTCTTTTTTCTACGAGTAAACCCTCAGTGAACTGAACAAAGTGAGTAAGTAAACCCCAACTGTCAGTGTTATCCCGGTAATTGAAACTTTCCTTTTCAGTTCTATGACACCATCGCATATAACAAGGGTCATTCCAGTAATATGGCGCTAGACGAGTAAGTTGGCTTGTTCTCATGACTATTGCGCTATTATACAAAAATTTTGACCATATTATGAAAACATTCACGTGATTTCAGGCTGTTAAAAGGATGGAAGATGTTACTAGTTACAAGTATCAGGTTCGCCAAAAGTTCTGTGCCTGCAGATTGCTCGATGAGAATATGTCGTTCGTCACTCTCGTTTGATATGTATTTCGAGAAATAAATAGTTTTTGCTGTCTTTGGAATGGCTCACGCTCCGACAGTGGGCGCTCAGAGCAACTCCAGCGGGTACCCAGCACCTGTGCTACAACAATGTGAAAGTATAAAGTTTGTGTTTTGTCTATATGCCAAAACATCAAAGCGAAAAGCGACCTTGCTTAGGTCGAGTCCGGAATTCGATTACCGAGTTTTGGATCCCCCATCTTATTCAACAATGGAGCAGATCGCGCTAACGGCTGCGACGATCCTTCAAAATCTGGAAGGAAGTTCAGGCTTGACAAGCGCGCTCAGTCTGCCTGCAGGAAGGGGACTGCTCTCATAACAAGTTCAAGAAGATTGCGGCCAGATTTGAAGTGAAGCAGTGTACAGTGAATGCAGGTGCGACGTTATGAGACTTGCAAAGGGCGCGAAGAGGGGAAGGGAGAGCTCCAGCAATGCCACGATGTTTTGGAGATCTGTGGTCCGTGTAAGAGCAGCTGTCAGTGGGGATTGGAGAGGGACGCCTATGGGCCGAAAAGTCAGGGGAAACTGTCACATTCGTTGACCGACTTCCAAACAGTCATGCGCCGTCGAAAACCTCCCGGATGATAGTTTTGATTCTAGGATGAGGGTGTTGACAAAGCAATGCTCTTCCACGTGCTGATTTCTTGTTGGCTCTGCCATTTTTACCACCCCTTGTCATCCGCTAAATAGCCGTTACTACTTCCCTCATCTGATCACTTAATAGTCATCCCATCTTCGCCCCCTACATATTTTTCGAATGTATCTGAGGAATGCCCCCTATGGTGACGTGTGTCTCAAACTTTACAGCGTAACTTTATAGAAGAAGCGCGTGGGGGAAATGTTACGAGTAGTGTGGATCTGTTCCATTAGTCAACATTTTACATCAAAATTCATTAATTAAAATGTAAAAACCGGAAAATCCAAATATTACTAATAAAATAAAAGAAATGAGTAAAGCAATATCGACTCGATCGACATCTCCAAGACGATCGATCAGGGGCACCTTCTTTTTTATCGTCGTCGCATTCTCCAAATCGCGAAGCATGTTGTCCATACTGGCATCATTATAGAAAGATGGACCTGAACACGATATACCATTAAGCATTTGGTAAGATGCACAAGCGCTTATGGCCTGGTCCCCTCAGGTTGTTGCGGCCCCTAGCACACTTCTCCAGCGCATCTCCTTTCGTCTGCAAAGGTCCTAACGTAAATAAGCGGAACCAGGCGGTATCTTCTTTGCTTCCCTTCTCCTGAATTGAGTCATAAAGCGCAGTCGACTATGTTCGCTATGAGCCAGTCAATTCAGCTGTTTATCGTTAATTATGATTGACGGCGAGCACGGAAAGAGGCGTTACAAGCGCCAAACGGAGTGATGGCACAGCATTCGTCACAGGACCAAACCCACTCAACGCAGCGCAGTCGCGTGGTCGAGTTCTCGCACGTCAACTAGCTAGGGAAGCCTGGTGATGTCGTGACTTGGAAGTAGTGTACACACTCACTCAATTCTATGTTCTCTCTGCGATCCCTCGTAACCACGGCGTTCTATGACCACTGTAGAATCACAAAAGGTAATTTTCTGGATGCGGGAGTTGTAAGCAGGGTACCAGTAACAGGAAAATTAGTATTGCCCTAGAGGAGGGAAATCAGGGTAGAAAAAGAAGTGTTAGTTACGGGGATAGCCTGTCATTGGTCAGCTTCGACGGGTTTAGCCTATGATGAGTGCAGTACTGAGCGCTAGCCAGACCAGTATCCGAATGTTTACCACACAATAGTAATTAGCTGAAATAACGTCGTAGGTAAGGATAGCTAGATTAATACAACTGGCAGGTATACTCCTTATCCCTGTGACGAAGTAGGCGTGGCATGTGAACACGGTATAGGGGATTACTCGTGGGATGTTCCAATTTGAGACAACTGTCATCTTGTTCTGCTCTGTGTTGGACAAATACATGATTACAACTGCTAAAAAACGAAAATATCTTACAAAAACCTTGGCCGCCGTCAAGTTCATCCAAGTACGCAGCCACGCCTACCTCATCTCAGGTTGAGCGCACGTTGCAACCGCTCGCTAGCCTGCAACGTTCATATGACTCGGCGTCAATGCACGCCGCGATAGGAAATCTGGTCACAGCCAATCCTAATCAACTTTCATCGCTGCGGTCACTAACAGATGTGTGACGGTTGGGGGAAGAGCATTTGGAAGGTAAGGTTCTGCTGAGTGGCTTTGAGCGCGTAATTACAAAGCACATTACATAGCACCTGCTTAGGGGGCTTGGTCATATCTGTCCTGTAGGCCTAGTCGATTTATCGTGCATTATGCCTTAAAATGAAGAAGGGGTCGTACATGAGCCGCTGGAGAGGGGGAATGAATTTGGGGGCTTGTGGTGTGAAGTAGCTCGTAGTACAGGGAGGGACACTTCTCCCTACCAATATGGGACATTTTGTAAGCATTAAGTGAATGGCGGTATCTATCGCGAAATTGAGAGCCTCAAAATTTGCACCTCGTGCTCGGTATCTTCGCGAAATGAGAGCCTCAAAATTTGCACCTCGTGCTCGCGGATGACGCACCTCATCCTCCCTTTCAAAATTCCTGTCGGTCAACGGAGATGAAATGCTAACGAATTTGACAAAAATGCGCCCAATTGAATTCGGATTACCTGGACTTTTGTTGGTCAGCCACTTTATCCGCCGTATTCTTCTCGATAAGTGTCTCCAAATTCTTCAGAATCGTCGACCGCAGAGGGGATTTCTTTATCGTGGAATAGGGATTCTCCTCGTCTTCAACATCGGATTCGTGTTGATGACTGGTCGTGACAGCTACTTGTTGGGCATGAGAAAGTTGCTGTTGTGACAGTCTGAAAGTTCAGGGGATAACCGATAAACGAAAAAAGGTAGACAACCAGTAGTAACTAATTGAGTTGCTGGTAAGTACGCGTGAGATAGAGCTCCTGAAGAACCTGTGACGTATCCTGATAGGAAATAACCGTACATATACACACGCTCAAATCCACTGCGGCTTCCATTGGAAGACGAGAGCATGACCCATTTTAAAAAAGTACGATACCAGAAAGTAAAATGGTCAATAATTATCACTTTTCTCAGCGCACAAGTCATAGGCACCTCCACAATTTTCGGTTACTTAGACAGGGTATTGCTTTCGCCCATCAGGCGTACAGCATCGCGGCTTGTGAACATGGTTGCGTGTCAAGTGACGACCCCCCCTCCAACATCGTACCTCTACTTTTCCTACGCACAGTGGTCAGCTTCCTATCAGTTTTTCACCAAAACCAGAATTTAATCCGTCAACAGGTTTGGGCCCGGTGGAGGGGCAGAGGAGGGGTATATAGTTCACAGGAAATGAGAAACCATGAAAAGGCAACAACCGGGAGAAATTTTTCCCCAACGCGATGGATTCCTCCCAAAGCCACATACAAACCCCCCTTCCCCAGTAGAAAAACTCAACCCCCCCCCCCTATGTGTTTCACATAACGGATTCTGCTACCCTAATTGCCATTCTTTTGGCCGAGCGGATAGTCGAGTGGTTAAGAGTGTAGACTCATAATCTCACTCTGAGCCACGAGTTCGATCCCTGCCGAGGCACAAACCTGCCTTGCAAAAATTGCAAAAATGGGGACGATTAATTTGGGGACGATACCAGCGTCAGGCCCAGGTTGACAGGCCGGCTGATGGAGGAACCCGTCACAACAACCATGACAAGTCGCAATAGAATCAGTGTAAAAGCTAGGACGTCACCCGGAAGTGGCGCGCAGAACCCTCGCCCGAGTTCTGTGGCCGCAATATGCGAAGAGGCTACCGGCTATGTGAATGCGACTCGCCAAAGAAGCTAGTTCGAATTGGGACCCTGAACGTGGGGTCGCTTACCGGGAAGTCTCGTGAGGTTGCCGACCTCATGAGACGCAGGAATATCCAAGTCCTATGCCTGCAGGAAACGCGATGGAAGGGTGCGAAGGCCCGCGAGATTGGAGAAGGTGTCAAACTCTTCTACAATGGAGCAGACACCAAACGGAATGGCGTTGCCATAGCGGTGGCAGAATCCCTCAAGGACTGCGTCTCCACTGTGAACAGGATCAGTGACCGGATCATGGGAGTGAGAATGGACACGAAGGAGGGGTACTGGACAGTACTGACCGTGTACGCACCACAATCCGGTTGCTCTGAAGCCGAAAAGGATGAGTTCTACCTGACCCTGGACGAGGCCATAAGATCGGTTCCGGAAGAGGACTATCTCACCATAGCTGGAGATCTGAATGGCCATGTTGGGAGGGACAGAAGGGGTCTAGAAAGGGTGCACGGAGGTCAAGGAATAGGGACAAAGAACGCTGAGGGAGGACGAATCCTTGACCTAGCAACACGACTTAGCAATCTGCAGCACCTTCTTCGCGAAAAGGAGGACCCAAAAGGTAACCTACAGCAGTGGAGGGAGACAAACGGAAATCGACCATGTCCTGGTCAGAAGATCGTCTCTCAAAACCATCAAGGATATCAAGGTACTGCCTGGGGAAGAGCTGGGCCCTCAGCACAGGCCTCTCCTGGCAGACATCGCCATAGACCTCCCCAAGAAGACAAGGGTGAGAGCAGAGCGAAGAATTCGGTGGTGGAAAATGGGCAGGGTAGAAAAGGATAGCCTCGGCCGAAGAATACTGGAGGCTGGGCTCCCAGACCCACATGGGCCAGTCCAGGACACCTGGACCTACGCAGCAGAGGTCATCCTACAGTGTGCAAGGGAGGTCCTGGGAGAGACGCGAGGTGGTATCAGAGGAGACAAGGCAGCCTGGTTCTGGAACGAGGAAGTCCAGAGGATTCGGTCATAAGTCTTCAGAAGAGGAAGCCTTACGAAACCTGGCAAAAGACACGGAGCCCAGAAGACTACGCTGCCTACAAGAGCTGCAAGCGACTCGCTAAGGCGGCCGTTGCTAAGGCCAAGAATACGGAAATGGACGCCCTGTACGACAAGCTGGAAGGCCGAGAAGGGGACAAGTTCGTCTTCCGCCTGGCTAAAGCTCGGCATCGCGCAGCTCAGGACATCAGGGTCGTAAAGACTGTGAAGAGTAGCAACGGGGCCATTCTCAGGAAACCAGCCGAAGTCAGGAAGAGGTGGGAAGAATACTTCGAGGGACTTCTGAACGAAGAATTTCCTCGCAAGGATAGCCCACAGATAGATGCGACGGCAGGTCCACATCATTACCATGCGAGTACCAGGAATGAAGTTCGCCGGGAGCTAGGAGAATGAAAGTTGGGAAAGCAGTGGGTCCAGACGGGGTACCGATAGAGGCATGGAAGGCCCTTGGAGAGCATGGGGTGAGTTGGCTCACGCACTTCCTAAACAACGTAACAGCTGAAGGAAGGATGCCAAATGCGTGGAGGAGCAGCACAATCGTTCCCATCTTTCAAACAGAAAGGGGGACGCGACAAGTGCATCCAACTACGCGGATCAAGCTGACTCCCATACCTGCAAGCTGTACGAGCGCGCTGTGTCAAACGCATAGGCTGAGGGGAACTGCGGTCCTTCTCGCCAGAGCAGTTCGGCTTCTGCCCGAGAGGTCGCAGTGCTTTTCATCGCCAGACAGACTGGATGTGAAGACAGTACGAGCATACAGCAGCGACCCTGCTATGCCCTAGCCTTCTGCCGACTTGAGAAGGCATTCGACCGCCTGCCAAGGCCTGTACTCTGGAGAGCGCTCAGAGAACGTAACGTTCCGGAACACCTCATCTCCATAGTGAAGGACATGTACGATGGGGCTAAAGCAGCAGTACGCACCCCTCAGCCCTATAGCACCGCTCGGCTTGACAAAGGAGGTAAACATTACGGTTGGGGTACACCAAGGGTCAGCCCTCAGCCCGTTCCTCTTCCTCCTGACTCTAGATGTCATGGCAAAAGAACTCATGGAGGGACCACTGAAAACCATCCTCTATGCTGACGACATCGCCCTGATAGCGGACAGCAGGGAGGAACTTCAGGACAAGGTGCAGCGGTGGCAGGATGTGCTCGCTGCGAATGGACTCCGGCTGAACGTAAAGAAGACCAAGTTCCTAAGCTCCGAAGAGTGCGCCGAAGTCATCGTAGATCGCCATGGCGAGAGCATCGAAAGGGTCGAGGATTTCCAGTACCTGGGGAGCAACCTAGCAGCTGATGGCAGCGTGGACCAGGCGGTGACGGCCCGAATCAACGCAGCCTGGATGAAATGGAGGGAGTCCACTGGCATCCTGTGCGACCGGCGGTGCTCGAGAACGCTCAAGGGCAAGGTGTACCGGGCTGTGGTAAGGCCTACAATGCTCTACGGCAGTGAGTGCTGGCCTATCTGCAAGAACCATGAAAGGCAGCTCCACTCAGCTGAAATGAGGATGCTGAGATGGGCCTGCGGCTGGACACGACTCGACAGAGTCAGAAACGAGGACGTCAGAGCGGTCACACAGACGGCTCCTATCCAGCTGAAGGCACGAGAGCAGCGACTGCGATGGTACGGTCATGTACTGAGGAGGCCCGAAGACCACCCAATAAGGAAGGCATTGGAACTCGAGGTAGAGGGCAAGCGACCACGAGGAGCCCCAAAGAAAAGATGGAGGGACGTCATCAAGAGGGACCTCACTGAAGTGAAAGCCACGCAGAAGATGCAGTGGATCGGAACAAGTGGCGACGTCTAACAAGATCAGCGGACCCTGCGACGGCGCGGGACTAACGCTAGGGAGAAGAAGAAGAGAAGTTCCGTTCTTATTGGACATAACCCTCTCTTGACCTTCTTAGAAAGAAGAATAGTACCATATAAGCGGCTCGTCTGATTCTGCCCACGTGATCAGGAATGTGCTACCAGCATAGATGAGAGAACAACACTACTGCACAACAGTGGGAACCTCAGAGTATTCCTAGTTACCTATTTGGGTGATTCAGCTTAAAACAATTCCTGACCAACCTTGACATTTCGGCCCAACGCGGTTGAAGATATTAATTTATGCGTGTGATAAGCCATGGTCGTCGTTTCGTCTTGTCGTGAGCTGGCTTTGCTGGCTGTTGGCAACACTCGGCCTTGATCGTCTCCGCTCGCCGGCCACAACGGTCATGATCGCACATCTGCAATTGATCTGAATACTGAAGCTATTCAGAGAGTTCTTGTGAAGCAACTTCGATAAAAGGATTTCGAAGAGTAGCACACTCAGCGCGCTAGTTCAATCTGTGAGATTGGAACAAGAAAAAAGAACGAATTAGAACTCCAGAATCCACGGGGGATTTGAGCGTTATTCAAGCAACAAATAGCGGAGACACTTCACAACAACGAAAATAATTAGTGAAGAACTGCTCAGTAGGTTTTCAGGTAACGGCCAGTGCTCAGCAGGGGTATCACGCGTCTCCAACAAGCAAGATTCCCCGTAATTGGATTATCGTGGACGGAAGTGGAGTATGCTTAATCCTATATTCACTAGACAGCGAGACATTTGGAAGAGGGAGAACTCGATGATACCGAGTGGACATCGAAGGTTTTGAGAACAGAGATCGCGATCATCCTAAGTTTGATAAGAAAGTCACACACCTGTTACGATGAGCAGTCTCCGCCTCCTTTGGCGCTCTCCGCCTCTACCATCCAGTTTTAGCAAAGCTACATTGCGGTGATTGTGGTTCACGATAACTTGCAAATTATGTCGCACTATCTCTCGTCGCATTCATTTTTTTCTGCGCTCAGGGCCTCTTCTCAATATGACGATGCAGAATACTTATACGGATGACAATCTACCTCCTTATAATGCTCTTCAGTATAAGCTGATCGAGGCGGTCTGCTCAATTGTCTACGTGCGTGTGTAGACAAGCTGGTTTTTGACCACTTCCTTCCTGGCCTTTGCTGGATTTTTTATAAGGCCACAATATTAGTCATTGCGTGAAAATGTGTGAGGGAGGCAGGTCGCAGTAGGTCGTGTACCCTTGATCACATTAATACTTACACACTCAGAAAGTAGCAGATGGATAGGTTCTTGCGGTGTAGCCAGATGGGGCCGGGGCTGTACCGGTATCAGGAGAAAATTCTGATTAAGCCTCGGGGCTGAAAAAAGTTCAATTGAGGACATACTGACGCGGCCACTGACCAAGTGCGATTTTCGAGCCTGCTGATGGGCCGAAAAGAATCACGCTCTTCCGGTTAGGAATTTTCTGCAAGGGTTTTTTTAAAAACCGGGCCAACTTTCTGGTTATCAACACTTTGACATTCATATTTCAGTCACATTGCTTACAAATGGTACGAATTCTCTTCCTCTGAAGGCAGCAGAGAAAGCGGAAAACTTTCAGATTCAGGAGTATCTACTATGTAACTGACGCGGCCGTGAAGAAAAAGCAAACGAAATTGTAAAAACGCTCCTAATGGGAACCTCCTTGTGGCAGGCTAGAACAAAGGAGATGATGTGGATGCAAGGTGCCATAGAAGCAACAAGAGAGCGAGTAAATGAGCGGAACAGCAGGAGAGACTTGCTTGTCGAATGGTACGAATTCTCTTTCTCTGAAGGCAGCAGAGCCAGCGGAAAGCTTTCAGATTCGGGAGTATGTATTATGTAACTGACGTGGCCGTGAAGAAAAAAAGCGGACGAAATTGTGAAAACGCTCCTAATAAGACCCTCCTTGTGGCAGGCTAGAACAAAGGAGATGATGTGGTTGCAAGGGGCCATAGAAGAGCAAGAAGAGAGCGAGTAAATAAGCAGAACAGTAGGAGAGACATCCGTCAACGCTAGCAGAGTCACCAGAGTAATACTGGCCTTCACTGCCGATACTTACAACTCTTGAAACTCATGCAAGCTTGTCCATTGCAGGACACAGTACTTTCCTGTACGAAGAACATAAATGCTTACGAGTAATCGTGGTCTTTGCCTATAAGCACATGAAAGTACTGTCATGAGGATGTCGCAGACAGCCAAATGATTGAGTTAATTAGTGGGTATTCTAAGGATAAGCCAGGCTGACAACTATTCATGCCTCCATAGACACAGGTGGTACAAGGATAACTCGGAGACCGATTGAATATAGTGAATCGCAGATGGCAAACATGCAAAAATAAGTATTTCAAGAGAATAGAGTGGAGCAATCCCTAGCAAACATACTTTTGTGTTCCCATAGACCGGTAGAACAAGTTTCAGTGGTAAACGCCTACACGGAGGGCTTTGTACGGAAATGTTGAGTAAATAGAGCGAATTGATTGGGAGAGAACGCTACAGAACTCGAGACTCTGAATGTGTTTGTAAATTAATATGACTTCCACAGAGCTCCTTCATGACAAAGTAAGGGTAGTAAGGGTCAGTGAGTGGGTAGAAGCGCGCTTGTTGTGTATACGATGATGGCCTCATACTACAACGATGTTTGGAGCTACCAAATAAGCTTGTCCCCTTTTTTTACTTACCATTATTTTTTATCTAAATTTGATACACTGTGCGTAGGTGTCATTATTATTGGCTGGTCACTTATTTTCATTTATCCAAGGAGAAAATTCGTTGTTTGCTCTAACTATTTCACTCTCCTAGGGGTAAGACCGACGTTTACCTCACCACCATCTCTTCAGTGGGAAGCGATTTTAGGGCTCATGCATATAAAAGGGGTGAATTATAAAACCGTAGCGAATGAAAATTGCCATTCAAGTAATGAATAATTACAAATATTAAATGCTAAAGGATTTGAAAACAGTAGCACGTCACATACGAGAAGTGTAGTGCTTGCCATGTGCGAGGTGAATGGGTCCTTGGCCGCCAGAAGAGAGCCACTTTCTCTGCTTCAAAGTGCACGGGAACAGGACGGGGAGATGGGCAAGAGCATCGTAAATTGCCGCTTTGTCGCGCGCGGCATGGACGCGACGTTCCTCAGTTTGCACTACCCTTTCGATTGGAGCATCGGATTTCATGTAGACAAGGACATGGTAGACACGTACCTATTTTTGGTCATACATTGTCTATTCTCGACCAATACCACCCAATCGTCGTCATCAACAGGCGCGACGCCGCA